GCATAAAGCCACCTCAACGCCTAATCGAGTTCGGGGCCCAGGAATCGAAGTGACATGTAATCAATTCTTGTAGGTTCCCAACAAACTCTGAATATTACGGGATCATACCGCATAACAGCAAGCCTTATCTTCTCCCTACTCAGATTGGATGACGACAATAAGGTTCATTGATTGATACGTTACTCTCTGATTAAAGAGGAAACGGATCTCGTCCATTTAGTCCACARATTTCGAAATTGTTTCGGGAAACCCGTGTAAAGGCATCAATCCCTCCATGGTCCAGGTATGTGCGCGAATACTTGCATCCAAGCTCTCTAGCACTCAAATTCTAGCTCGCAACCACAACAGGATACTAACTTAAGCATCGGAGCAACCTCCTCGGGTCATCCACCCCGGTCACTCTGATCACTGTTTTGCAGTTTGCTCCAACTCACCACTCGAATATGTCTAGGCAACCCTCCAGCTAGGAGCTTTCAGATCACGCATCAYCATTGGCTAAGTCCATTAGTTTTCAAAAGTACCCATTTTACTCTTATATCTATCAATTTATATGGAAATTTATTAAAATACCTTCTGAGGAGGGTCGGCCTACCCCTCTAGCTAGTCATATTCTGCCACGTGGTGCTTTGAATTTGTTTCTATGACACCTCAACATTACACGTGGATGGACTTTACTTGAACTCTCCTCGGCAGATTGACTTATGTGGCCCAAACGATCTTTGACCTCATTTAAGAGCACATCGGCAGATCGGTTACAGGGTTGGAGCACACAACCGCTTTGATTGCTCCGCACTCCCAACCTGTTTGTCTAGCCTGGGAAACCCACGACCTGAGGGACCTCATCGACCTCAGCATGCCTTCGACCTATGTATGAGGCTACAATGCCCACTTGGCAGTGAAAAGCTTGCTTCCCTTTGCTTCAGGAGGAAGTAGATAAGCATGCCAGTGATGTCATGTGGGCGCATCGGGAAGCTATGGATGCACAAATACTAACAGCTCGAATGTGTTGGATACATCACCGTCTAGCCTCGAGGACTATATAAGGGTGACTCTTCACTCTTAAGTGGTATGCTCACTATTACTCAAGCATTCTCTTGCTTTGATTTCTTGCTCGATTGCTCTCTACCACCTTGTTAGCTCAGTGCTCACTTGACCATTGGAGTCTGTTKCCTAGGTCATCTCTCTAAGCCCTCTAACATTATCTATCTTGCAGATCTAGCGGCTAATCACTCTATCTAGATTCGAGCTATCATCGCCAGTAGGGRCTAGCACATTTCACCATCATTAATTGGCACCAACTGTGGGAACCACCGAACATAAAGGTTGTTCCCTCTCACTCTTACTCAATGTCTTCTCCAAAGAACAAGGAAACCCAAACCAYTGGTGGATCTTCCTCCRGGGGAAAACCCTAGAATGTTGAGCCCTCTATGACACCAAGGGGAGTTATTGGAGAGCAATTCAAGGATTTGGTGCATTTGGTCAGGAGCATGGACATCCTCCGTCTTTGAGCCTGGGCTGTAGCAAGAAAATTGTTACCACTTCAGCAATAGCTTGTCATACCATTGGAAGGTCAACTTCTATCCAGAATCAGAATGTTCGATTACCTGCATCTCAAGTAGTCCTATTATTTTCTCTAGCCCCTTGGAAAGGAGATTAGACCCTCGCTAGAACCCACACCTCGAAGCAGTGAAACCGAACTTATGTACTTGAGGAAGGGAGTAGGGCAAACAATTCCTACAAATTGGATAACTCACACTCTACAAGAACCTTGAGGCGGGATAGGTACAAAAGATGTCATCGACATGAATTGGTTAAGAACTGACTTGGCCCCCGAGATGACCACTACGTAGGTT